CGGCCCGCAGCTCGGTTTTCTCCCCCCCAGGCCCCTCGCGGTTCGCTCCGGCGGTGACACAGCACGCCCCGTTCTTCAAAGGAACGGCTGTTGTTCACGGAGAGTTCAAGGAGCTGAGCCTGGATGATTTCAAGGGGAAATACCTGGTGCTCTTCTTCTACCCCCTGGACTTGTGAGTGCGGGCTTCTTTCCTTGCAGATGGGCCTCCCGCCTTGCTGAAGGTCATCCCAAGCGCTGCAGACCATTGCTGTGTAAAGCAGCTGGTTTTACCTTCTCCGCGCCAGTCTGGCAAGGCAGCCGTGTCTGTTTCTAGAGCGTGAGTGATAAGACTTGGGGGCTAATGGCCACTGTGTGTGAATGGCCACTGTGTGCTAAAGCAATGCATCTAGTGGCTAGAGAGCATCTTCTAGCTGCCGGGACTGTGTCAGGAGGCAGACCTGGCCTTGCAAGTGTGGTTCCTCTCACGGTCGGATCCCAGGGGTGAGGGCATTGCCTTGCAGTTTGGGGTCGCGTTGGAGGCTCTCTCCTTTTCAGCAGCAGGGCCAGCAGAACCGCAGCTACATGGCTCCAGACCAAAAGGTGAACAGATGGGGTTGAGCCTGTCCAGAAGACTTGAATTGCCAGGAGCATCCTGGCATATGGAAGGACTTAACCCGCAGTCCTTTCTGTTATAGTTTCCAAAAAGTCAACTGTCTAGAGAGTGTCTAGCAAAGACAGTTTCTCCATCTCTAAAAAATCTGTCTAGAACTGAGAGCTGAAAACTGGTGTGCCAGCTAGGTGGCTGTGGCTGTTGCTTTGAGACCAACTGAAACTAATCTTGAGCAGGAAACATGGTTAAAATTATCAGGCTAAAGAAAAACGCTCTGCTGTGTTAGTGCCTAGAAACAGACGTGAGAGTCTTTTCTAAAAAAATTCTCTGAAAAGATTGCAGAATCATTACAGCCTGTTCTCTCTTTCCACCCAGCACCTTTGTCTGCCCCACAGAAATTGTGGCTTTCAGCAACAAAGCAAATGAATTTCATGATGTGAACTGTGAAGTGGTGGCAGTTTCTGTGGATTCTCATTTTTGTCATCTGGCCTGGATAAATACACCACGAAAGGTATGAATTGAGCAGCTGTTTGGGGCTTTCCTTGTTGGTTTTTCTTTTCACAAGAGCTCCTGAGAAGAAGAGTTGAATAAACAATTGTGCAAACACCGATTTCAATAGACTGCCTAAAGTGATATGTGCAGTGATTAACTTCTACATTTGATGACATAATTCTGACCTCAGTCTTTGTTTTCTTGCTCTTTTCCTTAATAATTTGGGGGATTTTTTCACCTTTGTTTTGCTCTCTTCATAGTCTTGTAGGTTACATCGTGTCCTTATATGTTTATCTCGTAAGACAAATATATGTCACTGTCCTAAGCTGCCTGTTACAGCTGATGGTTTGTGTGCACCCTCGCAGAAAATGAACAGCAGCTGTTTAGTCATTATTGTTAACCAGTACCTAACAGCACTGGCTTCAGAATGGAAGCAGAACAACCAGCTTATTGGAGCGCTTGTATTATTAACTTCCACTTGCTGAAATGGTTCCACTTCTGCAATACAAACGGAGGCCCTCAGCTTTCTTCAGGGAAAGGAAATGATAATGACGGCCTTTTACTGGAGAGGAGCCTCTTCCACGTGTATATAAAAATACACGCTTGCAATCACATAAAGCACCTCACTGGTTTGGTCGGTTGTAGAGAATCAGAAGTGCTGTAGGAAGGTGCAGAAGCTCCAGTGCCATCGGTCGTTACCCGTGTGGTGGTGTGGACGGCAGTCTGCAGTAGTGCTCGCAGACTGGGACCCTCCAGGTGCACAGCTCTGCCGTGGTAACCTGCAGGGGAGGGAGGAGAGTTAGATTTAATATGGCTCAACTGAACCTATTGAGAGTATTTAATTTTCTGCATGCTTTGTTCAAAGCTCTAAAATGGGATTGTGGACTGACTTCACTGTTTTACGTGAAAGCCGTTCAGCGTCTGCCAGTCAGGCACCGCTCGTGCATGTGTAGCAAAGCGCCCGGAAAAGGGTGGAAAGAATTCCGTGGTGGCGCAGACGGGAAACTGACACTCGGAGAAGCTCAGGCCTTGGTTTCTCCAACATCTGTGTCCAAAGCTCTGCGTATGAGAACTCCGTTGCAGACAAGCATTTGCAGGATCAGGGTCTGAGTGACTGAGATTACACAATGATTCACTGATGATGCCAGGAATAGAAAAGCTAACAAACTCTGGGCTTGTTTCAAGGATAGAGAGCTTATCTCTGTTGCAGTTCCAGTATGTTGCAAAACTGAAAGAAATCTTGGTTGACTCTCCAAACAGTATTTAAATTGATTTGGGGGAGGAAAAAAAAATAATACAGGCACTAAATAGAGAGAGCAGCAAAACTGTGACATACCTAGCGTGGCTGTGAGAAACCTCGTGTTTTGTCTGTTCATAGCATGCAGGTTTGTTTTCCCTTCCCTCCTCACCATGTTCATCTTGTTTAATTTTGAACACTTAAATATGCAGTAGAAATTTTTGTATTCAAAGCTCCTGAATAAGGTATAAGGGAAATCTTTCTGAACATCTATGACTCTTGTCACAGGTAGCCTTTTACCACCAAAATAAGCAATTCTAAACTGCTTAGTGCAAAAGAAGTTTTCATGTTCCAAGAGACCAAATGTTGTTGACTACTTTAAAAACCCCACCAAACAAAACAAACCAAAACCAACCAACAACCCCCCACCTCCCCGGTTCCTTTCATGGAGGAAATGGCATGAATGTGTTTTGTTGTTAGTATCCCCTCAAGAGCACCCAATCTAGCCACTCAAGAAGGATAATCCTAAAAAGTGTTTTGTAACAAAATGGAATCTTACTCTTTTCTCTAGAGCGGCGGTTTGGGCAAAATGAATATTCCAGTTCTGTCAGACCTCACAAAACAAATCTCCCGTGATTATGGTGTGCTGCTAGAAGGACCTGGCATAGCATTAAGGTAAAGTGTGATTGCTGATAACTCGGCTATGACACGACCCAGTCTAAAACAACGTGAGCCGTAGTGTCTCCTCCTGCAGGGGAAAGTGCACAAGGTTCGATCAAATGAAGACTGTAAGATGTTACTTTTTCTGCCAAACTTCTGCTGGATCCCACCCTAGGAAAAGGGCCCATGACCGTTATGGCCATTAAGTTGAGAATGAGGTCTCTCTGAGAACACATGTAGGGGAGAGCCAGCTATTCTCTTCTGAGTGAGCGAAGAACTCCATGTCACTGAGGAAAACAGGAGTAGGGTAGAAGAGCATTTTACTTTTTTTTTTTTTATGTTTTTTCACAATTTAGGTCTGTCCCTTTTGTTTTGTTTTGGTTTCTTTCTTCTGAAGGGAGAAGAGACTGCCTTAACTTCTGTGTGAGAGGTTTCTAAAGCAGTAGTCCTAGAGGCCACTACAGTCGATCCCATAATTATCTAGAATAAAAAAATTGACATTTTCTTCTCCACCATGAGAATACTTATTAAAAGCAAATAGTGGTCCCTGAGATCCATTGGATTGGGTAGGCGTCTTCTGGAGATCTTCGGTTCCTGATCTCTTTGGATCAGGAACTTCTGACATTTGTTTGTTGACAAATTAAGTTAATTAATATGCTAAGACTGGGACTTTGGTTTTCACAAATGTTTATATGCAACAGGATTTAATTTAGTAGCTTAATGCGTAAGCAACTCTGCACTCAATACCTTTGTATTTTCATATCAAAAAGACATGGGAAGGATGCCAGCTGTCCACCTTGTATATAGGTGGAATCAGAAGTTCTGCCTTTGTTGTACATCTGTCTTGGATTAACAGTCTTTATGCATACTTTGTAATTTCACAATACCGTACCAGTTGACTGGTTCTTGGCTTTTGATCACTGCACTAACAAACAATATATCAAACGCTGTATTGCTACTCCTAACTCTGATACCTGCATCTAAGCATAACTGCCTTGCTGAAATAGTTCATCCCGTTTCTCGTGTTTGGTCTTGGAATGTGAGTTGCATTCCCTAAATTCTTCCTCAATTGCAGAGGTCTCTTCATCATTGATCCAAATGGGATCATCAAGCATCTAAGTATCAATGATCTCCCCGTGGGTCGTAGCGTGGAAGAGACCCTCCGCTTGGTGAAAGCATTCCAGTACGTGGAAACACATGGAGAGGTTTGCCCGGCAAACTGGACTCCAGACTCCCCTACAGTAAGTGTCTGCTAAATACCACTTTTCTAAATATAGACGCTGGCGTATTTTTGCATGGCTGAAGGGCTGAGAACCACTTTAACCTGAGGTGCTTGACTGAATCTGTGCCAGTTGAATAAATCTGAGGCTTTTATCGGTTGGACCAATTTAGTCTATTTGTATGATACTAAATGTGTGATTTCTGTGAAGAACGGCACTGATTTTCTTTTAGAAGACACAAATTGTATTTAAAACTCTAAATTTGACTTGTGCTCTCCACCAGTTGTCTTCAGATTTTTTACTTACTTAATGCCCTGCTTGATATTTAGCAGGAAATATGTTATATACTTAAAATTTGCAAGTAGGAGCTTGTACATCATTTAGGCTTTCATCTTGCAACCAAGTGCAAAAACAGAAATAACCTATTGTTTTTATAAAGTATGCATGGATTTTCTTGGATAAAATGTCAAATCTTTAATTTTTTTATCTTAGTTATAGCATATAATAACTAAACTTTCTTTTCTTGACAGATCAAACCAAGCCCAGAAGCTTCTAAAGAATATTTTGAGAAAGTGCATACATAAACACTCAAATATGCGGGCAAAACTCTCAGTTACCATATGCTGGAGACATTAAGAAAGCAGCCGCGATTATAAAAAAAATTAAAATCACAGTTCTCATTTTCTGATGCTTAAAAAGAAATTAAATGTTGAAATATTTACTGACTCCCTTGTCTTGTTTTAAGAAGAAGGGTAAAAACTAAGACTTTTTTTTCCCCTGCCTTTTGCAACTTCTTTCCTGAATTTCTGTGACCACCAGTCGTCTTCCTGAATGTGACAAGTACACAAAATACAGTTGTTCTCCACCGGGTTTTTCCTCTTAACTAGTTTTGGACCAGGAAGCATCCCGCGTTTTCTTTTCTCACATGAAAAATTAAATTCTGTAACAAGAGTTTGATACAATGGGGGCGATACAGAAAATAGAATTTTGATACACGGTTTGTTTTTAATGAATTTTGCAGAGGAAGAGATGAATGTAACAAGTAAATAAAAAAAAAATCCCCATTTTTGTGTGTAAATGCACTATTAACTCAAAATGAATGTAAATATGTGCCATTTTAATCCTGCATGTAGTCAAAGATGCAGTGCAGCTACACGGGAGCATTAACAAGCATGAAGAACTTGCATTCTGCCAGGGAGATGGCAAAAACTTGAACCCTATTAGTGTACTTACTGGAGCTTAATGACAGTCTTCCATCATTGAAAGCATTGCTTATTTGCTTGAATCTGTCTCCAGGAAAAACTTAAAAATGAAATGTTGTACTGCTTGAAAACAATGTGGCGTATCTCCAGCTGTAATAATAAATCTTAACATTGACTAGCAGCAGGTGTGTTGCTTTCCTCTCACTTTTTCTCCAAAGATTGCTGTTTCTCTGTTTTGAAGAAGCTGGATAAGTTGCATTGCCTTAGAAACTACCTTCTCTGCCTTTGTTCACAGCAAGCAGTTCACACCTGGCACTGCCTCTGCCTGTGTACCCTGGCCACAGGCAGCAAGTCTGAAGGGCCGGATAAACCCGTACAATACTGAATGGGTTTGTATTTTTCACCTTCTGCCCTTTTGAGCAGGGGAAAGGACTTGAGATAAACAGGAGCGCGAGGGAACCACCTTGGCAAAGGGGCTGTTGTTTCCCAAGTTAGCTTTGTAACAGATAGCAACGCTGCAATGTAAGTAAGGATGAAAAAATGAGCCTGATGTTGTGCGGTGCCTGGTGACGCTCCAGGTTTCAGTACTTGCAAATCTCTCTTCAGTCACGGTGTTTTAGTTCAGTTTTGTGTACATCCACAAGCATCCATGCAATTTTTCCAATAAACCTGATATCCTAGACCTACAGTATGTGAGGTGAAACCCCTGCGCGCCTCAGCGATGCGAAATAACGCGCTAGTGGTGTTGGTGGCAGCGGTTTGTGCCTGTGACACCGCAGGGCAGCGCCGCGCTCATCTTTTCCCTGGCTGTATCTTCACCTTAGCCATTTTAAGCCAACGTGGAGGGCGCAGGGGGTCTCTCTGCAGTCCTGCTCCTCCACTCTGCCTTCCCGGGTGGCGCAGGGGGAAACTGCTGGAGGGGAAAGGGCGATCAGACCTTTCCCAACCACCCCCTGCTCCCGGGCCTGCCCCGAGGCTGCTCCGGGGCTGCAGGCCGCCGCCTCCCGCCGCCTCCCGGCCCGGGCCCAGCCGGCAGCTGCCTCCCGCCGCCCCCCTTCCCTCCTTCCCCCGCCTCCCCGC